AAATGAAGTCATTTCAAACGGTTTAGCACTTCCTAAAAAAGGGTAAACAGAGTTGCCATATGAACCAGCAATTGCATTCCTGGGAATATAACCCAAGAGAGATAAAAACCTATGTCCACAGAGAACCTTGTATGAGAATGTTCACAGCAGCATTGCTCACACACAGTAGCTCAAAGGGGGAAACAACTCAAATGTCCATCAACTGATGGCTGAGTTGGTAAAATGTGGTATATGGCTGAGTTGGTAAAATGTGGTATATCTATGTAATGGAATATTATTCAGCCTTAAAAAGTAATGATGCATTGATTCACACTATAGCACGGATGAACTTTGAACGCATCGTACTAAGTAAATGAAGCCAAAGACAAGAGACAACCTAGTGTGTTCCACTTATATGAAGTGCTCAGAATAGGTAAATCCAGAGAAATAGAAAGTAGATTATTAGTTGCCCAGCACTAGAGGTTTGGGAGAAAACTGGAAGGATTGCCAACAGGTATGATGGGTTTTTTGGGGAGGAGGGATGGAAATGTCTGAAATGGTCACACATGTCTGTTGACATACTAAAAATCATCGAAATGTATACTTTAAATGAAGGAGTTATATGGTATATGAATTCTCAATAAAGCTGTTCATTTTTTAAAAAGCAGTACTTCCTGGGACGCCTGGGTGGCTCAGTGGTTGAGCACCTGCCTTCAGCTCAGGCATGATCCCGGGGTCCTGGGATTGAGTCCCACATTGGTGTCCCCACAGGGAACCTGCTTCTCCCTCTGTCTGTGTCTCTGCCTCTCTCTCTGTGTCTCTCATGAATAAATAAAATCCTAAAAAAAAAAAAAAAGCAGTACCTCCTAATCTTGTTATGTCAAGATTCTTGGAAAAATCTACTGAAAGATGTGGACTTTCTCTCACCTCTACCCCCAATCCCTCACTCATGAAAAATCTGTACATGCATGTATATAAAAACTTCATGATATATTAGAGACTCCCAAACTGACTCATGTTCATTTATTGACCCCATAGTAGGCAGTAAGCCCCAACATAAATGTTGGGTTAGGTGCACATCTGAAAGGTTTCCTTCTCTCCATACCTCGTCTTGGCCTGTGACCCCCTGCATTACAACACCCCCCTCCTTTCTAAAGGTGTTTTGATGTCTTGATCAGTGTGAAATGCTAAGTTTTAAGATGGTGCCCATGACCTTCACTCCCTGGTGTGACTCTCACGTTCTATGACAAAAGGGAGATCATCTGGATGGGTTTAACCAAATAACATAAGCCCTTTAAAAGCAGAAAGTTTTCTACGGTTGGGTTTGGAAGAGGAAGTCAAGAGGGTCTAAAGCATGATGAGTCCACTGTCTTGCTTTGAAGATGGAGGACATGGCATATGACAAGGAATGTGGATGGTCTCTTGTCAGAGAGCTGGCAACCAGCAAGGACACGGGGACCTCAGATCCACGGTTGCAAGGCATTGGATTCTGCCAATAACCTGAAGAGGCTTGAAGTGGGTTGTTCCCTAGACTCTCCAGGTAAGGGCCTGACCCAACCAACACCATGATGTTGGTCCTTAGGGTCCTGGGCAGAGAGCCCAGCTGCATCTGCGGACTTTTGGCCTGTCGCTGTGGGGTAATTAGTGGGTGTTGGTTTAAGGCTCTAGGTCTGTGGACAAATTACACACACAGGAAAACTAATACAATTAATTTGCATCTCCACACAGTAGCTTCACTCTGTTGGATGTTTCTAAATCCAACTCATGTCCTCATGAAATTCCTAAAATGGCTACTTGCCCTCTAATCACTCCTGGTCTACACTGGGAGCTGCCTCAATGTCAAAACGTTAAAAGTTCCAGAGGTGGAAAGCACTGGGAAAGGGAAACATCAGGCCTTTGAGGGTGAATTTCCTGAGGTGAGGCCTCCACTCAGCCAGTGCCATGGCCCTCTGTGTGGGAGAAGGGGAAGAGAAACCCAGAAGGTTTCAGAGCACCTCCAGTTTGCACAAAAGATTTGGGAACCCCAGCCTGGAGTCTGGGAAGGGGCATAGAAGGTAAGTAGAGTCTGTGTGAGGGCGGGTCTGATCCCAAAGGCCAAAAGCTAATCCCATAGAAGCACGAACTCTCCAGCAGCTGGGGAGAGACAGAGATGGCTCCAAAAAGCTTTCACCTCTGGCCTTCGGGGTGTGTGTATGGCGTGGCCTTCCACGTGGCAGACAGGAGGAGTCATGTGCCTGGGTGCATTTGGGCTGGGCTCCTTCACACAGAGGCCACCCTCCTCCATCCTACCTCCTCCCTTCCTTTCCATCTGGAAGAGTGAGCAGGTTCAGCAAGGAATGGTATGTTCCAGCACAGAGAGGGAGCCTGCAGAGGTCTCCTCTCCTCTTGCCTCCCTTTACCCATAAAACACCCAGAGCCCTAACTTCCTGCCTTTGCTGATGAGAACCACTCATTTCTGGAACTAATCAGTTCTTTCTGCTTTAACGAGATGGTGTCTTTTCTTGCTGGGGATGCTATCATCAGGCCCTCCACTCCATCTTTTTCTTGGAAGGTGACCTCATGTGTCTGGGAGCCCAAGTCTGCCCTGAACAGGCAGGCATGAGCTTCTTTCTGTGGGTCCAGGGCCCAGGGCTGAAGTGCCTGGGGGCAGGAGCAAGGGTCTGTCCATGGCCGCTGCCCCCTGCCACTCCTCAGTGGGAAGTTCAGGAGGATCTCTGGGCTTTCTGCATGTGCTCTGCCCTCGTCTGTGGGCTTGGGAAGGAGTTTGTGGATTTGTGGCTTTGCCTGTAATCAAGAAATCTGCCTAGACCCACAGAATTTCTCCTCCCCGGCTGGGCCTGGGCCCCTTTTTGAAACCTGAAAAAGTACGGTAGTATCAGAGTGACATATACACACATGTGTGTGAACACATGTGGGGTAAGATAAGCCTGGGTGTGATCGCAGGGATTCGAAGTGTGACTCTTTACAGTTCCCCCCATTTCAGTGAAGCAGGAAACCTGATACTCCAAGGATGAGGAGCAGGAGGGAGGGGAGGGAGGGGAGGGAGGAGGAGGAAGGGGAGGAGGGAGAAGGAGGAGGGGTAAGGGGGATAGAGGGGCAGGGATGAGGGCAAGAAGGCAGAAGAGGGAGGGAAGGGGGAGGGAAAAGAAAGAGGGAGGAAGGAGAGGATGGAGGGGGATGGAGGAGGAGGGGGAGAGAGAAGGAGGGAGGATGGGAAGGAGGGGGGATGGGGAAGGGGAAGGAGGGGGGGTGGGGAAGGGGAAGGAGGGAAAGGACCTGGGGCAGGGCTGAGGGGACCCTAGGCCTCCCAGGAAGTGGGTTCAGTCCTGGCAGTCTAGACATCTCGATGCCCCACCTCTCGGACACAGCAGAAACCAGGGGGGGATTTGTGTCTGGGGGTGGGGTTGGGGGAATGGTGTGCCCTGCACCCTCTCCCACCTCCCAGGACATAGCCCAGGAGGCTCACAGGTGAGAGGAAGCTATTTTAGAGGCACACCCTTCACCCGCAAACCCGTTTCTGGAGGGCCCTGATGCCCATTCTCCTTCTGGCGGGAGTCTCTACCCATTCTCCTCCGAGCACCAGCCCCAGAACTCGCCATCCCGGGTTTTCGAGAGGGCCTCTGCCTCTTGCCCCTTCCAGAGAGAAGTCCCTTTGGCCAGGAACACCACCGCCCTGGCCCTCACCTGTGACAGAGGAGACACAGTGTGGATGCTTGGGGCCAGGGCAGCTCGGCCGGCTGCTCTGTAGTTCTCCGAGTTTCTCTTCCTGGGTGTTTCCAGAAAGGGGGCGTGGGGGTCCCGGAGAGGCTCCGCGGGAGGTTTGGGGGACCCGGCATGAAGTGCACACCAGCTTGCACTCAGTCACGGAGGCCAGGACTGCTACACCCTCCTGCAGAGGAGGGGCATCCAGCTTCTCCCACTCAAGCCCTGGGCCAGGTGAATCGCCTGGAGGGCTTATTAAAAAGCCCAGGTGGGGGCACCTGGGTGGCTCAATGGATGAGCGTCTGCGTTCAGCTCAGGGTGTGATCCCAGGGTCCCGGGATGGAGTCTCACATAGGGTTCCCCGCAGGGAGCCTGCTTCTCCCTCTGCCTGTGTCTCTGCCTCTCTCTGTGTCTCTCATGAATAAAATAAAAATCAAGAAAGAAAGAAAGAAAGAAAGAAAGAAAGAAAGAAAGAAAGAAAGAAAGAAAGAAAGAAAGAAAGAAAGAAAGAAAGAAAGAAAGAAAGAAAGAAAGAAAGAAAGAAAGAAAGAAAGAAAGAAAAGGAAGAGGGAAGGAAGAGGAAAGGAAAGGAAAGGAAAGGAAAAAGAAGGAAGAAAGAAGAAAAGAAAAGAGCGAGCCCAGGTGACTGGGTCCCACCCTCTGAGTTTGACTCTGGTCTGGGGCGGGGCCTGAACATTTGCATTTCTAATGAGTTCACAGGTGCCACTGTTGCTGTGCTCCTGTAAGGTGGTGTCTCCAGGTGTATAAAAATGAGGGCTACCTGCTGCCCCCAGTGCTCTCAGCGGGGATCCCGCAGACCCTCTGGATCTGCTCCGCTATCTGCTTTGGTGGAGAAGGAACAGTGCTCCCACCTTCCGAGAAGCAGACTGGCTGAGGGAGCAAAAAAAAAATTTTTTTTTTTTGTTTTTGAGTGATAGAGGAAAGAAGGGTCCTATGTACTCATCCTGCTGCTGGTCTATGTCTGTGTGCAAGCCCAAGGCCTAGGAGATGCCAGGCCTGAAGTTTGTTTTTCTAGTCCTCAGACTACCTCAGTGGCCAGCTTCAAGAGGGTGTGGTTCTCTCCCCTCGGTGGATTGTCTTCCCCGTGAATAAACCAAAAAGAGACAGAACTTAGAAACAATTATCTTACAGAATTTAATGCTCAGGGATGGGGATGGTTGGAGGCCTGATGGGGGACATAGCATAGGGTGTTCGCTAGCAGAACGACAAGGGGGGTCCCAGAAGGCTGGGCTGGGCTAATGGGACCACAAGCTCACCAGGAACTTAGTCTCTCTGAGTCGCTGTCTCAGAACATTCTAGAACTGCGGCCTTAAACCCGGATTTGCTGCTGTTCCTTCTTCCTCACCTCTGCCCAGATGTCTGACAGATCCTGGATAAATTGCTGGATCTAACAAGGCAAGGGGACCAGAGTTAGCCCGCTGGGCAACAGGCCACGCCATCCATCCCCAAACAGACCATGTCCCAGCCTTCCCTGTGTGCCTTCCAGTCTGCTAAGCCTGATGCTTCAACCAGAATAATCGTCAAATAAGGGAAAGTGGCCTCAAGAAGGCAGTCACAGGGGGATTCCTGGGTGGCTCAGCGGTTTAGCGTCTGCCTTTGGCCCAGGGCACTATCCTGGAGTCCCGGGATCGAGTCCCACGTTGGGCTCCCGGCATGGAGCCTGCTTCTCCCTCCTCCTGTGTCTCTGTCCCTCTCTCTGTCTCTCATGAATAAATAAATAAAATCTCAAAAAAAAAAAAAAGTTCCCAGACACCCACGCAAAGGGTTCTGTGGTCAAGTTAGCTTCAGAAACATTATCTGCTTGGAAAATCAGGGCAGAACCATAGCAAAGACAGCAAAGTCCTGTGTGTGAAGACCACCTGACTTTGCTTCGCTGAGAGTTTTGCAAACGTATCAGCCCATGGACTCCTTCGATTCCACCACAGGAGATGTACCCACCTTTGGGGGTCCTAGGATTTGCCAAGCACAGTTTGGAAAGTGCTGCTCCGGACAGCTTGGGCTGGGCTGCGTTCAGGGCTAATGCCCGGCCTTCCGTGACACAGGACGTGGAATTCAAATATTCTCAGGCCTTTGGCAGAACCGTGTTTCCTAACTTGTACTGAGGCACCATGCTCCTCACTCTCGGGAAGTGGCTGCCTTCCAGAACCCGTGCTTGGATGTATCTTAGGGATGTTGTTGGGCACATCCTGCGCTGGGAGTCTCCACAGCCTCCTTGGGAGATTTCAATCAGACTGAAGCACTGGGAGACATTTGCTCTGAGCACATCTACATTTTCTCATGTCAGTACAGGAACCACGTGTTGCTTTTCCTTCTTGTTACTAGATGATGCACAACCAGCTACTGACTCTGTGGAGCTACTGTCCTTTATGATCCAAGAATCCACAGTCTGTATTTTTCACTTGGGCCTTGACATGAGGTTGCAACTCCGGTTTTCCCAGGTCCTTGGTTTTTCATTTTTTCAGCCTAGTTGATCATGCGTACGTCTGTCGATAGGCTCCCATCCTATGGCGGTGGGGTGGGATATTTTAAAAATAACTTGAGCAACAGGAAGTGTTCTTGTAGCTACTGATGGAGGTTGAGAGGGAGTTAGCTCAGAATCTGCAGGGGATGGACTGGGAGCCAGGCTGTGGGCATGGAATGCTTGGGCGGGCCAGGGAGCTGGAGGTGGCCACCTCCTTCCCCATCCTGCGTCACAATAGTTCAAGGCGAGGATCCACGAGTCCCTGAGACCCCAATACTGGAGACAGGGGTCTGCAGGTGCAATCCTTTTCCGATAATACAAATACATTATTGTCTTTTTCTCTCTTGTTCTCCCATGAGTGTAGAGTGGCCTTTACCAGAGTGGGGTGTTTTCATGACACGGCTTCGTCACCACCAGGGTGCATACAGAAGCAGATGGGAGAACCCACCTGTTGTCCACGAAGCCAGCCATTAAGTGGATTTGCAAAAGTGCCCCTTGTCCCACAAAGTAATTTTTTGAAAATGTAGTTTTCCATCAAGCATGCTTCCTGTCGTCGTTGAAAAATGGATTATCTTTAATTTTTCTGTTGGCGTTTCTAACATGGTAAATATCAACAGCATAAGTCATACAAACAAAAGCTCTTGGTGGAGGTGGGTGCTTGCTCTTCAGTAAATTTTAAGAGTGTATAGGCCTCCTGATAGCAAAAAGTTTGAGGATTGCTCAACTTGTGGAACAAGTTTCTTATTAATCGCCTTCCACTGTCAATAGTTCTGCTCTACATACTTGGAGCTGCAGGCTGATTGTCTGGTTTGGGGAAATCCCTCTTCTGGGCTGTTCAGTGGGTAATATCCTTTACATTTCGTTAGCTTTGCTTTTTTATTTTTATTTTTAAGAAAGATTTATTTATTTATTTGAGAGAGGGAGAGAGCACAAGTGTGCAAGCGGGGGGAGAGGCAGAGGGAGAGAGAGAATCTCAAGCATAACTCGCACTGAGCACAGAGCCCGACACAGGGCTGGACCTCATGACCCTGTGATCACAACCCCATCTGAAATCAAGTATTCGACGCTTAACTGTCTGAGCCACCCAGGTGTCCCCATGTTTTACTTTCTTGTTGTTGTCAAACAGGTGAAGTACCTTCCCGTCGTCCATGGCTTTTATTGGCTTGTGTTTCATATTCATTCGCTGCCTAGTGATCACCTACTGTGTCCCAAGCACTGTTCTAGACACGGAGACACAGTTAGAAACAAGACAATGACAAATCTCAGCCTTCTGGAGCTCACATTCTGTTATTTCACAGCAGAGCCCCGGGCTTTTGCCAAAGGAATGAAGAATTAGTCATGGTTCTCCACATGTCACGAGAAGCATGTCTAATGCATCTGCCTGTACGGAGTTGCCCAAACTGTGGGATATGTGCACCTGTGGTCAGAAGCGAGATGGTTTGGGGTCGCGCATGTGTATAGCATCAAACAGCTTTGAATCATACGGTGAGAAGTGTTATTTTGGTTATTTCCTTTCAGTTACTACTAAAGTTGCTGATTTCCCCTCCCACCTCACTCCCCATTTTTCTCTTTTCCCACAGAGTGGGTGGGCCTGGGACACGAGCCTTCAGCCTCTCTCCAGAAGTCAGTAGGGCTGTTTGGCACAAGGACTGGATTTAACAATGGGTCCCTGCTACTGCCCGTGTTGAGTGCAGTCAAGAGGGTCTTAGCGCTTATGCGGTGGTTCTCCAAGGGCAGAACCCAGACCAGCACCATCACCTGGGAACTTGTTGAAAAATGGGAATTTGTGGGTTCTCATCTCAGACCTACTAAGTCAGACACTCTGGAGGTGGGGCTCGACAATACTTTCCAGCTCCGAGGTGACTCCGATCCTTGTTAAATTCAAGAATTTAATTGAACTCTGGGGGGTTCATTCTTCCCAGCTGGGCCGATGGCCAATTGTTGTGGCTCAGTAGACCCGGGGGGGGGGGCTGTGCCCCCTCTTACCATGTCCAGCTGTTTGTGCGTGTCCTCCAGGGACACAGTGGTGGTCTCCTTCAGCTGCTTGCTCACGATCTGGAAAAGGTTCAGTGTGGCCATCTTAATGGTGCCAAGCAAGAGGGTCTTCTTGGCTGCAGTGTTCTGGATGTGTGCCCAGCGAGATTCCTGCGGAGCCGGTGGGGCCAGGACGTGAGCAGGGGACATGGGTGTGTGTGCATGCGTACCATCCTTGTCCCCCCCCCGCCCCGCCCTGGAGCCCCCAGCCCCCCTGGGCCCCTGCGCTCACCCAGATGATGACATCGCTGCGGGCTCGGTCGAAGCGCATCTGTAGACGCGCCAGCTCGTTGTTGTGCTGCAGGATCTCGTCATCTTTCTCCTCCATGTAGCGCGCCAGCCTCGCCTTGGCCCGCTCGATCTTCTCCTGGCCCTCCTGCGCCGACTTCATGAGGTCCTGGTGCATGCTTACCAGCGTCTTGTAGCGTGAAATCACCTCGTGGATCTCCTCGAACTGCAGAGGGGAGGGGGAGCTCCGCTCACTGCACTGCTGCCCCCCACTCCGCCCACCCCCACCCCCTAGGGCTGATGAAGTTGCCCCCTGCGACTCCCTGCTGAGATGCCTCTGCCTAGCCTAGCTTGGAGACCCTACTCCAAAGTCGAAGGACACTGGTGTCCACCTGTTCACCCTCCTGGGTTAGTATGGCCATGGGACGTGTGTTCCGGGCAGGTACAGCTGGAGCTGGGGTCCTCGGTGGGCATGTTGGGGTCACCTGGGAGCTTTAAAAAGGACACAAGTCTGGCTCTACGTCCAAGAGATTTATTTTAATAAAGAGGTTGGAGGTGGTCCCTGGCGCCTGAATTTTCCAAAAAGATCCCCTTGGGGCACCAGGTTGTGATCCCGGGGTCCTGGGATTGAGTCCCCCTTTGGGCTTCCTTCAGGGAGCCTGCTTCTCCCTCTGCCTGTGTCTCTGCCTCTCTCTCTCTGTCTCTCGAGCATGCATAAATAAATTTAAAAAAAAAACTTTTTAAAAGCCCCCCTCGCCCCAGGTGATTCTAGAGGACTGCTGGCTGGGGTTTGGGGTTTGGGGGTTGAGTTGCTGCATGAGACATCTCCTAAGGAAATAATTACATCCAACAAGAATGTACAGAGAACCGCTTATAGGCCACACCATAAGCTCAGTGCTAGGGACAGAGCAGGAGATAAGAAAGCCAGACGCTGCCCTTGGGGTGGTGTGGAGGGAGGACAGACAGGGAAAAGAGTTATAACACAGACTGATAAGCCCTATCTATGATGGGGTGGGGCTGGTCCAAGACCCTGGTGACATCTTCAGCATAAGGCTTTCTGGTATTTGTTCACGTTCGCTGAGGTCCCCCTCTGGTGGGGGCTGTAGACGGTACCGGCAGGGCAGCTGGCCTGCCAGGTCCCGAGCCACTACACTCTAACCTGACCTCGCAGGCCGGGCACCCTCCCTCTGTAGAGGGTGGTGTGAGCGCCAGTTCCAGGACACCAACTCACCTCCCCAGGAGTTGATCAAAGTGTGCCTTCCAGCCACCCAGGGGACAGTTCCTGAGTGCTCGCTGCATCTCCTGCCATTCCCAGTGATAGACTGGCATTCCTGAACGGCCCTCCTGGCTTTTCCATGGATATGCCCCTGTGGGGAAGGGCCACCCACGGAGGAGGTGGGAACAGCCAGGAAAGGTTTCCCGGCAGGAGGGAAAGGATGCTGAAATGAGACCAGAGGTATGAACCGAAGCTGGCTAGCCAAAGACAGGTGGGGGAAGGTGAGGACAGGTAGAGGGAGCAGCCCGTCTACAGATGACGGTGTGTGTGTGGTGAATTCAAGATGCCCAGGAGAGCTTAATATGAATAGCCTGCATTCAAGTTGGGGAGAGACAGATCCACCTGGAGGAAGTAGAAAAAAATGCCCAGTCACCCCTGAGGAGGAGTGTAGAGTCCTCTGTTAAAGGATTTTAGGAAGCAGGGGTGCCTGAGTGGCTCAGCGGTTGAGCATCTGCCTTTGGCTCAGGGTGTGATCCCTGGGGTCCTGGGATCGAGTCTCCGCAGGGAGCCTGCGTCTCCCTCTGCCTGTGTCTCTGCCTCTCTCTCTGTGTCTCTCATGAATAAATCAATAAATAATCTTAAAAAAAAAAAAGAAGGAAAGAGAGAGGAAGAGGGGTGAGGGATCACACTGGCTGTCGACCATAGGACAGGCTGGTGGCCAGGAATAAGGCAGCATTGAACTCCGGATGAGGTACATCGGGGGTCTGGATGAGGAAAGGGCAGGGGCTGAATTCCAGAAATACTTAGGAGGCAGAATAGACCAGATCTGCTGATTGATGGCTGCAGGGAGGGGGGAGGGGGAGGCAGCTAGGATGAGGCCCCGGGTTCGGGGCCTGGCTGTGGGTGGGAAGGCCACGCCAGGGGCAGGACTGGCCTCGGCCGCCAGGAAGCTGATGAACTGAGCTGGGGACTCCAGACCGCGGGCGGAAGGGGCATGAAGCTCAGAGCCAGACTCAGGCCAAGCTCCACGGTCATGAGACGCACCTTTTCGCAGGTCTGAATCTGAGTCCTGTCTTATCATTTACTTGCTGCTTTGATACATGGTCTCCCTGGCTTGCCCTGCCCCATTATGAGTGGATCATGTGGGTGCAACAGGTAGTATCTTAGCACAGACGACCTAACACAGATTTGGGCCCCATATACGTTAGAACACATATTAGTTCCATATGGAAACTGCTTGAACTTCAGAATGCTGTCCATCCTCCCACCCCTGGCACCTGATCAACACCCTGCACCTGGCTCCCCCTGGTAGGGGTCCCTGCCTGCTGTGGTCACACAGGGGCGTGAGAGGCATCCGGGGGAGGCCCCAAGAGTTGCCCAGGGAGAAAAGTGCACAGTCAGGGACCGCTCACCTCTGAGTTCTCCACCACCTTCTCCAGGTACTTGTTGAAAATGGAGTAGTCCTGCAGCTTGATGCTCAGCTTCTGGTGCTCCAGCCTCAGGGCCGCCATCTCCTGCTTGGCCTTGGCCAACTCGCGCACCCGCTGCCTCTTCAGCTCCCGCTCCTTGTTGGCTTTCTTCAGGGCGCGGATCCGTTTCTGGTCGTTCTCCTGGGGCGGAAGAGGTGGCACCGGTGGGACGCTGGCCCTGTCCTCCCCTCTGTCTGCCCGGGAAGGCAGGGATCGCTGGGCCAGGAGGCCTGAATTTTCTCCCAATTTGGTACATGGGACCGAAATTTCTCCAACTGCAGAAGTGAGAGGCTCGAGCCCCTCTCTTTCAAGAGCTGGGGCAACAGTGCTCCAGCCCCAGGGAGGGGGGACAGGAGGCAGCACTGCAGGGCAAGGGCCGCTCCGGAGAACCCGTTCCCATGGCTCAGACTGGCATCAGGCTGAGGCCGCAGCAGGTGGTACAGGTGACTGATGTCTTCAAAGAAAGACACCAGGCTCAGCTCCGGCAACCAGACTGACACCTCATTCTCCTTCATCCTGCAAAGTCCTCCCCGCATGGTCAGGGGGCATGTGCACCCCTCACCGTGCACCCGTGTGGCGCCTCTTCCTCTTCAAGGGCTCTAGTGATGCCACACGGATAGAGGACCCTTGGAGGCAGGTGGAGAAGGCACAGGGAGGATTTGCTCTGTGCCCCAGGAGCCCAGGAGAGAACCAAAGATCCCCTAAACCAGCGGCTTTCAAGTCCAATTATGTGTCACACCCCCCCTGGGGAGCTTTTGTAAAATGCAGTTGCTGGCACCCATCCCTACCCCAAGGCCTGCTGAAAGCAAAGAGAGACTCCTGGGGGGTCCGTATTTGGACCAGTTTTCCAGGATTTCCAGGCTGCTGGGCCTCTGGCAGCTGTTGGAGAAGCTCTCACCCCCCATCTCCTGCCGCTCCGCGCATGCTCCACTACTTTTCTCCAAAGGCTGGGACCTCTGGAGAACGTGCTAGGCCATACTAGGCCCATCAGCTTCCTCTCTCACCTGGAGTAGGTGCAGACCAAGACAGGCACTGTTAAGAGCACGCTCCCTGCCCCGGGGCAGAGGCCAGGGACACCCCCCCCCCCCCCGGAGCTGGGCCAGGCCCTTCAGGCTCTATCAGGGCCAGCGGGAGCCTGTCTAGAGAAATCTGGACGGTCAAATCGCTCTGCTAAGGCCTGATGGAGAGTTGTCTCCATCTGGACTCTGGTGCCTGGTACTTCCACCAACCCCTGCCTGGACCCTCAGTGCAAGGGCAGAGGGGTGGGGGTGGGTGGGTGCCCGGGACTGAAACCCTGTCTGATTCATCTTTGTACCCCCGCCTGCCGAGCCCTGACAGTGGCAGGTGCATTCACTTGTCATCCTCCACCCACGCCTTCAGTCCCCAGAGACACTGTACGTGCCAGGCACAGGCAAGGAGATGGGGAAGCACAGTCTAAAAGGGCTCAAAGTGACAGGGAGACAGGAAATGGCAAACAGTGATGAGCGGGGACTTAAGAGGAGAAGCCCCAGGCCTTGCTGAACAGTGAAGAGATGCTAACTCAGGGTAAGGAGTCAGTAAAAGCAAGGAGGAGGGGGTAGGAAGGAGGGGGAGGGAGAAGGGGAGGGAAAGGGGGGGAGGGGGAAGGAGACAGGTGGATGGAAAGAGAAAGGGGAGAGAGAGAGGAGGGGGGAGGAGAGAGGAGGGGCTGTCTGCAGGGTGGGGGCCCCTCATACCTGGATGAACTGCTCAAACTTCTGGATGTGGGCCTTCAGCTGAGCCTCCTTGATGCCCAGCTCCTCCCAGCGCAGGTTCAGCGTTTCCATCCTGCGCTGAAACATCTTGGGGCAGGGGAAGCGGAGAGGTCAGGGGGCCCCCTGCACCTCTGCCCCCAGGCCGCCCACTTTCCACCTCACCCCGGCTTCAGAGCAGGGTGTCCCGGGACCCTGCTGCCTCCAAGGCTCAGATCCTTTTTCTCTCCCCAGAGAGAACACAGAAGCTTCACCTGGGATCCCCCCACTCCAGCCACTGCCACCCACTAACTGGGGGGCTCCAGGGGGGCCCTTCCCTCACTGCACTCCTGAGTCCCCACCTCCTTCTTCTGCTCCATGGCTCGGTGCATGATCTTGGCCTCCTTCTTCTTCTCCAGGAGCCGGATGGACGGGGACTCCAACTGCTCATCAATGTTGGGGAACTTCCTGCCCAGGTGAGAGAGCAGGTGGGTTCTGAGCACCCCGGGGAGAGGAGGTGAGGGGCCCCATCCCCCACGTGAGGGAGGGCGGTGGCATGGGGAGGGCTGGGTTGGCATCCTGGGAGCACCCCAGGGCTGGGGGTGAGGGTCGCGGAGGTGGATTGGTGCCAGGGTGAGGAGGCAGGTGCTTTGGGGTGTGTTGTTATGGGAGGGAGAGGGGACAGGCTGGGAGCGGACTGTGGGAGGCCCCAGCCCCCAGACACTCACTGCAGCAGTTGTAACAGGCGCTCTCCATACTGCAGCCGAAAGTACTCAGCGAGGTCCTCCTCTTCCATGATGCCCAGGCTCATGGTGCTGCTGGCCTAGTGGCGCCCCAGCGCCGGGTCCCCGCAGTCACACGGTGGCCCAGGGGTGTGGCTGGGCTCTCGCTTCTCCCTTCCTCCTGCTTCGCAGGGTCCCACGGAGGATGGGGGGTCTGAGGGCCTCGGGAAAGGCAAAGGTGGCTGGAGGCTGGGATCGGGATCGCCGCTCAGGATGATGTGGTGGGAAGTGAAGGGAGATCTGGTTACCTGGCAACCGGCATCCTGGTTCTGTGGACCAGCTGCGGAACCGGAACCGGCTTTGCTCTCTGACCCTTGTCCCCGCTGACCCTGGGCCTGCTGGAATCCTTGCTCTGCTCCTGCACTTCCACCCCCCTCCCCACCCTCACCCCAGGAACCCCGGGGAGAAGCTGGGCCTGATGAGATGCTGGCTGGCATTCAGGCCTGGGAGGCCGGGGTGTGGGTGCCCATGGCCCAAGAGGCGGGGCTTTGCTAGAGGGCTGTCCTGGGCGGTTCAGGGGTGTGTGTGAGGGTGAGCCAGGTGCGGGGATGGGACAGATGGCCCACAAGACAAGGAGACAGGGTGGGAGGGGGCCCGAGCTTGAGAACCAGATGGGGGGCGAGGGAGGCGCGTGGAGATAGGCTGGGAGCCTGGTTCCGGAGAGGCCGCCGCCCCCAGGGACGTGGAGGGGGCCCCGGGGTGTAGCCAACCCAGGGCCAGTGCCGTCAAAATAGGAAGAAAAGCCACACCCTGGGGCGTGTCCGGCCCATATTGACACGTGTCCCTCATGAGGGCTGCCTCCTTGGATCCCATCAGCGGCCTGTGCTTAAGTTCATGGGGGTGGGGGTGTCCAGACTCGAGGCCCCATGGGAGGTGGGCGCCCAGGAGTCGCGGATGGGGTGAGGGGAGGGTGACGCCGGCGGCCTCGCTCCCGTCGCTGCCGCGGGACACCGGCTCCCGGCTGCTCGCCGTCCCCTCCGGCCCCCGGGCGCGGCCGCTCCGGGTCCGGGGCGGGGTTCCCTCTCGGCCGGGGCGGCTCCGGGAGCAGGGAGCAGGGAGCAGGGAGAAGGGAGCAGGGAAGCCCACCCCGGGGCATCGCCGGTCCTCTGGCGCCCCCTGCTGGCCCCCGACGGGCCCCGAGGGGGAGGAGCGGTTGGGGGCGCTGCCCCGCATGCCCCTCCACCCCCAGTCCCTTCTCCCCAGCCCCGCTCTGGAGCCCGCCGGTGCCCCCGGGGCCAGGGGAGGGCAGGGCAGCCCCCTCACACCCTCACCACCCTCTCCCCCCACCAAGCAATGGATCTCACCAGGGGCGCCCCCAAGGAAATAGATCCAGCAGGTGACAAGGGCGCCAGCAAGGTGCTCCGCGAAGGGGGATGCTTCTCTCCTTGTTTGTCCCCGGAGCCTCGCGCAGCCAGTTTGGGCTCTACCCTCTTCTTCCCCTTGAGGAGGGGGCTGCCTGCTTCTCGCATCACCCGTTCGCCCTGCTGCATGGGCGCACCCTCGGGTGCATCTATAGAATCAGGTGGCCCGGGGCCACATCCGCGCACGCAGGTAGCACCCTCACCTCCTCCGCGTGCATCCCTCTTTCTGTTGCTTCCTCCGTACCTCTCATGAGAACCTTCCTCTCCATCACCCACCACCAGCCCTCTCTGGGGTCTCCCTGCCCTCCCCAGAGTTGGGGGGTGGGTGGGCATGGGGAAGATGCAGGGCTGTCTGCGATCCTTAGAACTCCCTCCTCTTCCTTCCCCGGGTGAGCCCCGCTTCCCCTGCCCTCTGCCCCCACCCCAGTCCTTGTTGGTCTCCATATTTGCCTCCGACACATCTAGTACAATCTCCTGTGGGACTTAGGTCTGTTGGGAAACAGCAGGCATTTCTGTTCTCTCCATTCTAGCCTCCCTCTGAGACATTATCTGCTTCAAAAGGTCAGGAGGGACATAGCAGGAAAATAAAAGATCTAGGTTAATATCTTAAAAAATGGTATCCTGCCATACAGAACAGCACAGTGCGAGGCACGCAGTCCGGCACTGGTTTGGGTCCTGAGTGTTTCAATGGCTTAACAAGATCTAATTTTGTTAAATGCTTTTTCTTTTTTTAAAAACATTTATTTTTATTTTTTAAAGATTTTAAAAATTATTCATTTGAGAGATAGAGCATGGGCAGGGGAGTGGAGTAGGGGGAGAGGGAGAAGCAGGCTCCCTGCTGAGCAGGAAGCCAGATGCAGCTGGATCCCAGGACCCCAGGATCATGACCTGAGCTGAAGGCAAACTTTTAACTGAACTACCCAGGTGCCCCTCTTTCTTCTTTCTTTCTTTCTTTCTTTCTTTCTTTCTTTCTTTCTTTCTTTCTTCCTTCCTTCCTTCCTTCCTTCCTTCCTTCCTTCCTTTCTTTCTTTCTCTCTCTCTCTCTTTCTTCCTTCCTTCCTTTCTTTCTCTCTCTCTGTCTTTCTTTCTTTTCTTTCTTTCTTTCTTTCTTTCTTTCTTTCTTTCTTTCTTTCTTTCCTTCTTCCTTCCTTCCTTCCTTTTTTCTTTCTTTCTTTCTTTCTTTCTTTCTTTCTTTCTTTCTTTCTTTCTTTTTTCTTCTTTCTTTCTCTCTCTCTCTCTCTTTCTGTCTTTCTTTCTTTTTGACTTTATTTATTGAGAGAGAGAGCACATGCTTGTGGCGGGATGGTTTGAGGGAGGGTCAGAGGGAGAGGGAAAGAGAATCTTCAAGCAGACTCCCTACTGAGTGCAGAGCCCAACTCAGGGCTTGATACCACCACCCCCGGATCATAACCTGAGCCAAAATCAAGAGTAGGACTCCTAACCAGGTGGCTCCTGAGCCACCCAGGTGCCCCTCAAATGCTTTTTTTTTTCAAATGCTTTTTCTACATCTATTGAGACAATCATGCGTCCTTTATCATTCATTCTGTTAATATGGTGTCTCACACTTTTTACATGTTTAACCAACCTTGCATCCCAGGGATCAACACCATGCGGTCTTGCTGTATTCTGTTTTTGATGAGTTGTTGAATTCGGTTTCTAGTATTTTATTGATGGTTTTTGCATCTATGTTCATCAGATACTGGCCTATAGTTCTCTCAGAGTGTCTTTCCCTTGAGTTTGGTATGTGTGTGTGTGAGATGCTTGCCTCATAAAGTGAGTTTGAAAGTGTCTCTCCTCTTCTATTTTTTTGGAAGAGTTTAAGGGGTTTTGGTATTAATTCTTTGAATGTTTGGTAAAATTTGATCATGAGGTCATCAGGGTCCTGGCTTTTCTTTGGAGGTTTTCAATTATTAGTTTAATCGCCTTATTTGTTTTTTGTTATTTATCTGTTAAGCCTATTTCTTGTTGATCGGTTCTGTGTTTACAGGGATTTATCCATTTCTGGGTTATCCAATTTGTATGCACCTAATTGCTCATAATAGCCCATATTCCTTTTAATTTCTGAGGCATCTGTTGTGATGTCTCCTCTTTCATTTCTGTATTCATTTGGGTTTTCTCTCTTTTTTCCCTCAGTCTAGCTAAGTTTTGTTGATTTCATTTTTTTAAACTAACTCTTAGTTTTATTGATTTTTTTCTATTCTCTGTTATATTTATTTCTGCTCTGATCTTTATTATTTTCTTTCCTCCGCTAACTTTGGGGTTCGTGTGATGTTCTTCTTTTTTTGGTTCTTTGACGTGTAAAGTTAGTATTCTTTTTTTTTTGATATTTCTTTTTCCTTTTTTTAAAAGAAAGTTTTTATTTATTTATTCATGAGAGACAGGGGGGTGGGAGGATGGGGCAGAGACACGGGCAGAGGGAGAAGCAGGCTCCATGTAGGGAGCCTGATGTGGAACTCAATCCCAGGACTCCAGGATCACACCCTGGGCTGAAGGCAGGTGCTAAATCGCTGAGCCACCCAGAGATCCCCTCTTTTCCTTTAATGTAGGCATTTATTGCTATTAAACTTCCCTCTTAGTACTGCATTGGTCCATCTCATAAGTTTGTCCTCATTTTTGTCTTGAGATAATTTCTAACTTTCCTTTTGATTTCTTCATTGACCTAGTGGTTGTCCAAGAGTCTGCAAATTTAAACTACAAATGGTTATTGGTCTTAAATATAAATTGTAGATTATGTAGCAAGATATCTAATGAAAATGACACTGCTCTGTTTTCTGTCCCTGGTGAGAAAGCTGCAAAAATATAGCCTTGATGCAATGGGTTGCATAAGCCACAGGTGAGCCTTTGGAGACAGTTTAAATTCTGACCAAAAGCATATGGAGTCTTCATTTTCCTGTATCCTTGCCAACACTGTATATTATCAATCTTTAAAATTTTTTTGCCAGTCAGGAGAAAAAGATATTTCATTGTTGTTTTGTTTTAATTTCCCTAATTATTCATGAGGCTATTCATCTCTTCATACGTAGAGCTATTTCTTCTTCTGTATGTTTCTTGTTCATATCAATGTGCATTAAGAAATTGTTTTGTATTTTTACTGATTTTTAGGATATAATTGATATGTAAGATATATTGATTATGTCAATATATAGGATATATTGATTCTGGATAATAATCCTACGTTTTTGATGGTCTTCTCTACTGATCCTAATTTTTCAATTTTTGATTTCCCCTGACCACACACAATATACTTCCCTCCTCCCATACAATAGCTTTCCCTTAGGACCAGTGCTGCCCAACACACATCTGCAAATATTTTCTTTGTTTTCCTTTTAATTTGCTGATTTCTTTTATCATAGAAATTTAAAATATTTATCTAGCCAAATATGTTGATTTTTTTTTAATTTTAGGGGGGTGGCTTTGGTGTTTGTTTAAAAAAATCTCCCACACTCGGGTGCCTGGGTGGCTCAGCTGGTTCTTTTGGCTCAGGTCATGATCCTAGGGTCCTGGGATTGAGCCCCACATGGCACTCCCTGCTCAGCTGTGCGTGTGCTCGCTCTCTCATGCTCTCTCAAATAAATAGAATCTTAAAAAAATAAAAAATAAAGTCTTCCACACTCAAAATTATAAGTGTATGCCAACCCATTTATTTTTAGAATTGTAATTTTAAAATA